GAAAAATCTGCCATTGGAAACCCTGGAGAGCACAGTTCTACTCTGACACACGAGGTCACTGTCAGAGCCAACTCGATGGCATCTTTTTTTCAAAGGCAGTACTCTGTGGAGCCAGGTTGCCTGGGATTTGCCATTTACTGGCTGGAGGGCTCTGGCCAAACAACTCTGAGTCAGTCCTCGTCTGTCTGTAAAGTGGGGATAACAGTACCTACCTCACAGGGCTCCTGGGGAGTTATCTGAGCTAGCAATAGTGAACACACAGTTTTAAGTACTTTACCTAAATTAACTCATTTCAATTACATGCACAGTGAGGGCTATACCCTACTTGACATAGAAGGAAATTGAGGCAGAGAGGAAGTGCCTTCAGACACAGCTGGTCAGCAGCAGAACTTGGACTTCAGCCTTGGCTGCCTGTCCTTCCCTGCTACACTGCAGACCTGCCTCTGGGAGCAGGGTTGAGGCGCCGGAACAGCGCCTGGCACAGAGGAAGCCTCGGTACACCGTATTCAGCAATGACTGTATTTCCATGGCACAGTCAGTCCTGGGCAGGGAGACCCTGGGTAGGGGTTATGGAATGCCTAAGCAGAGAAGACGTGGAAGAAGCTCCCAGGGAGGCTGGATTGGGGTGGAATGCGGTGACAAGAGGAAGGGGAAGGTTAACAGTGCAGAGGGAGGGAGGGAGTGGGGCCTTGGGGGATGGTGGCCCAGGCCCGCTGGCATCACACTCACAGCCTGGCAGCCTCTGGTCTCCGCCCGAGAGACCTGTGCAGGGCAGTGGCAGTGACGCAGCAGTGACTCCCAGCTCGTCATTAAGAGGCTTAGACAAGTTTGAGTAAGGCCCGCTTCTCTTGCTTTGATACTTGTTAGGAAACTGTCGAGGGCACTGTGGGTCCTTGCCCGGCGTGGGGAGGAGACCCTCCACGCTACAGGGAGCTACAGGGAAGGCCAGATACCAGGGCGCCCTGGTGAAGAGCCCAGACTGGCGCTCAGCTCTCAGGACAGGGACCTCCTTCCAGAACCTGACAGAACACAACACTGATCTTTCATTCACCACTCGCTCCACAATCACAGAGGGAAAGAGCAGTCAGAATGAGAAATGAGGGGCCGGTGGGGCTTTTGCTAAAAACCATAAAATCACTTTAATTTGCTACTTTTCATTATGGAAGGTCATTACAGTATCATTTGCAAAATCAAACATGGACAAGAGTCCAAGGAATCACCGAGAAAGTGCAATCCTGTGTCTGTCGGGGCGCGGGGTGAGTGGGACAGTTCAGAGGCTGCATTTCTCGAGCCTGAGCTAAGAGCAGCCAGCGTGGCTGACGGTTTGGGGAGCCTTGGGGAGCCGGGCTGGTTTGTAGTGAAAACCCTAGGTGAGGGCTGGGGCGGTGGAGGCGGGGGTGGGGGGGAACGCCCTGGGTTCCTCCAGGAGAAGCCGCAGAGGCTGGGCTCCAGTACCAATCTGCCAAGGGCCTGTGCCCGAACACTGAAAGGGGACAGGTGAACCGTTTCCGTGCAAAGGTGTTCCTTTCCAGTGTTCTGGATGAGGCCTGGAGCCCCCTTCCAGGTTCACAGACTTGCTGAGCGTGGCAGGCCCAAACCAACTGCTCCCACCCGTTAGCGGACGGCTGGGCTGGGCCAGGGCTGGGTGGACCACAATGCTTATTAACCCACGTGGGCGGAAACACAGAGCAGCTCCTGTTCCTGTGACTTATCCAGGCCCTTCCCTCGTTCCTGAATAACTAGAGAAGTGCCTGGAGGGCCGGCCAGGCCCCATGAGGAGAAGAAGTCTGAAATCCTGAGCCAGAGCCGGCACGCAGGGGAAGTCCCACGTAGCCACTGCCGATCCTCACCAGGAGTTGTTGGCTATTTCCTTCCGTCTCGACACTTCCAGAGAACCAGCCGGGCTGCTCACAGCGTAAAGAATACAGACCTAGGCCGCCATTAGGCAGGCTGAGATGTGGACACTACCGATCAGCTCTCCCCTGGCCAGCCATTTGTCCAGCAGTCCACGGCGAGGTCTGTCTCATAAACAGGAAACGGGGCCGGAACCAAACAGGAGCGCACCCAGTCATTTACCAGAATACCGCCCAGCCCGATGAGCACAATCCCCTGGGCTCCATCGAGCCAGTGTGCCGGGGGGGCTTCATCCAGGAAGGGTTCTTAACTGGCTGGCCCCCGAGTGTCCTGTCCTTCCTCTTACCACCAAGTCCCCCTTTTGGAACCGATGTGGGGAGTCCAAACACTAACGCCTGTCGCGGTTCCCACAGGACCCAGGAACAGGGAGGGTCTCGTGTCCTGTGACAGCGGGTGCTCGGGCTGGGCTGGAAGATAGTCTTTTGTTTGAGGTATTCCCTTGCGTCAGTCTTGACCAGTCTGTTCTCCCTCCCGCCGCCTTCCACCACTGATGGGGGAGGGAACGGTGTGTCTGGAGGTGGGGTGTGATCTCCCCTCCCCAGTGAGCCATACTGCAGCCCACCCACATCTTCCATGTGATTTCAGCAGTGTGGAGAGACCGAGGTGGCATGGGAGGGAGGGACCGGGTCTGGCCCCGAACGGCCCTCCAGGCTGCTGGGCCGGAAGTTCCCCCCACCCCCCGCCCCGCACAGGGAGGGGCGCGTCAGCAGAAGAGCTCCCTGCAGATCCTGTGCGTGTCCTCGGGCGCCGTTACCGTGTAGCCCACGGTCCTGGGGTCTGTAAAGATCTCATGGTCATTTCCGCCCTGCAAAGACAGAAGCACACAGCTGCAGCTTCACCCTGATCCGGGAGGTGCCTGAGAAATGAGGAAGCTCAGACCTTACTGGCAGCGAGAAATACTTTTGCCCTGAGCTTTCTCGGTTTCTGGGCAGGGGAACAACATGAGCACAGTCACGACTGAGAAAGGGGCGGATAACCTTTTCTTCAACTGCAGTTTTGCTCGGAACACATAATTACGCCTACCAAAGAAATCAAAGGATTCTTGTGAAGATCTGTTGAAGGCTGATTTGTCTAGAAAGACAACCAGGTGCCTAGCAGAGCAAGACTAACAGACGACAGGATTCTTACAAGACGCTGGTTTGTTCTAACTGCACCCAGACTTCCCAACAAGCCAGGACAGTGCTGGCAGGACACAAGGGAACCTTCTGTGATGACGAACGTGCCCCGGCCCCAGGTGACGGCTGAGCACCTGAAATGTGGCTAGTCAGACACAGGAACGCAGCTTATGATTTCCATTCATTTACACTTAAATAGCCTTGTGTGGCTGGTCCCTGGCACTTGGTGGCCTGGGTTCAGGTCCTGCTTCTACCAAGGACCAGCGAACTAGCGGGGAGGAGCCGGTGAGACGGCCAGGGAAGGCCCCTGGAGCAGGGCCTGCTGGGAAGAGCAGCCTCCCAGGAGATAGCACCAGCACTGCCCAGCTTTCAAAGCGTTTCCACATGTTATTTCACCTCCAGGAGACAGATGAGGAAACTGAGGCAAGGGCCCGTGTCCTGGGCCCGTGTCTGGTGCTCTCGCGCTAAGCCGCCCCCGCCCCCATCTATCTGGGCCACTGGTATCGGGTTAACCAGTGAGGGAACCTGAGCCCTCGGGGAGGTCCCTGCTTTTCTTCTCGTGGAATTTAGCTCCTATATTTTCTTCATCAAATGGGATAAACAGTCTACTCAAAACCTTGAAAAAACCAATTAGTTTATAATACACTGAAAATAACGGAGTCCCAGGGTGGCGCCAAAGGTTAAGCCAAAAAAAAAGGCTGGCGGTTCGAACCCACCCAGAGGCCTGGTGATCTGCTTCTGAAAGGTCACAGCCTTGAAAACCCTATAGAGCAGTTCTCCTCTGACACACACGGGGTTGCCATGAGTTGGAATCGACTCAATGGCCCCTAAAAACAACAACGATGAAAATAACTGCAGGAAAAGCGGCTTTTCCTCCTGGAGCACGATGCATGAAGTCAGTACAGAGAAAAGACACGATTCTGAAGGGAAACTGTGACATCCTTTTAAACGACTGGCACCTGAGATTACTACCTCTCGTTTTTTTTTTTTGTAAAAACCACCTGCCCCCAGCAGACTGCTTCCCCAGGTAGAGGTGAAATTTGAGGCTGGGAGGGGCCGTTGCTGGAGGGGTCAGGTGGGGAGGCGATGCACTTGGGGCTGTGGGCGGCTCTCCTCTCCTGGGAGGCTGGCCCTGGGCTCCACAGCCCGTTTGTAAATGAGTCAACGTGACACTGCTTCTAGAAATTCTTAGGGTAAAAAAGAGACTTCTCTTAGGAATGGCAAGGGGGGGCAAAAGCCCCAAAGAGAACCTAACAAAGGGAAGATGAACTCTTGCACTATCCAGAAAAACCAAACACCATCTGGGACAAATTCACTCCCTCATCAGCTGAAACCCTGTGGCTCAGGAAGGGGTAAGAGTTCAGTATTGAGCAAGCCAACCTCTACTGAGCACCCGCTACCTTCCAGGCCTGTTTCAGCAGCTCCATGGCGAGCAAAGCGGACCAAGGGCTGCCTCCTGAGCTAACTAAAGCGGGGAGACTGGCCGCGAACCCACGACATGTGGTACTTTGTCAGGCAGGGGCTGGGGCAGAGGCCCGAGGGGAGGGAAGGGGCATGCAGCTACCTGGGAGGGCTGCTGTGTGGTGAGGCAAGAACAGGAGGGAAACTGTTCGAGGAGTGGGGTGGAGTGGGAGGCAGCAGGGTAATAATGACTCAGGATTATTTGAAGGGTACTGGGAAGCAGTCGACAGTTCAAATCTACCAGCTGCTCTTCTCCTCTGCCCCTATGGGGCAGTTCTAGTCCGTCCTATAGGGTCGCTATGAGTTGGAATTGACTGGATGGCAACGGGTTTGGTTTTTTTGGTTTGGGAAGCCACATAGCCCTGGTGTAGCAGCTAAGAGCTTGGCTGCTAACCAAAAGGTTGGCAGTTCGAATCCACCAGCCACTCCCTGTAAACCTTATGGGGCGGTTCTACTCTGTCCTATGGGGTCACTATGAGTTGGAATCCACTCAATGGCAACAGGTTTTTTTTTGGTCTGGGAAGCCACCAGAAGCCTGCAAGCCAGGGACACGCAAGAGCTTATCAAAGGATCTCTCTGGGGGATGCGTGGTGTGAGGAGGGCCCTGGAGCAGCAGAGAGCACAGTTAAAAGGCTCCTGCGGCCAGCCAGGTGGGATGAGGACGGAGCCGTCACCTGGGAGAGCGACCTCTGAAGCAAAAAGGCTTTATACTCCTCACCGGCCAGCTGCAGTCCCACGCAGAGACAGCTGTGCACCGACAGACGTCCAGTGTGGCACAAATGTCCCATGGTCCCGTGGGTCGGGGGGCCGGGAGACAGAGGGTGGGCTCTGCGTGCACACTGCACGGACGCCAGCAACACTGGGTCCTGAGGACCAGCCCACCCTCGAAGGGCGTCCACCCGACGGTAGATGACCACAGCCGCAATTACGCGAAGGGCGGCAGTGTCCTCTGGCCGGGCTGGCCCCGCTTGGCTCTGCTGGCCGTCAGAGGCACCTTTCTGAGGGAACATCTGCATCTAAGGATGACCCACCTCCTCCTTTGTGACCACCGAGCATGCACACCAGAGGTGGGAGGTTGGGAGAAGCAGACCCCCCACCCACCAACACACACACACGCTGAGCTAGTGAAAGAGCCGCAAGCCCTACCATAATAAGGCTCAGAGAACCGGACATTTCAAATCCTGGATCTGCATATGCAATAAAGAGCACTGCATTCCAGTCAGGGCAGCCCAGCCTCCCAGTCGCCAAGAATAAAAACTGTTTCCCAGAGAGCAGGAAAGGCAGGTGAGGAGGGAAGGCTCACGTTCCCATTAGTATGCCTGATGGGCCCCAGCGGGCAGCCACAGCTCAGGGAAATCAGCCCTTAATATTGAAATCTCTAAAAGGCCAGGGTCTGAGAGGAAACACAAGGCGCAATGTTCTGACATGGGGGTGGGGCGGGGCTGCTGAGTCTGTCCTCTGCCACCTTCCACGTGCACACAGTGCTGCCGTGAGCTGTACTGCAGAAAACCAGATCACCCTGCGGTAGGAGAGCCCGAGGGGGACACGGTCAGGAACGCCCACTGTCTGTCCTATACGAGCCAGGGGGGAACACAGTCAGGAACGCCCACTGTCTGTCCTGTATGAGAGCCAGGGGGGAACACAGTCAGGAATGCCCACTGTCTGTCCT